TTTTAGTATTCTTCCTCATTTCTTAGATGTGTCTCTTATAGGCAACACATTGATAGTCTTTGGTTTTTCATCCATTCTACTACTCTTTTTTCTCTTAATTAGTACTTTTAAGCCATTTGCTTTAAATGTAATTATTAACGGGTCAAGTTTTACCATTTCCATTTTAATTCTTTCCCTCTTCTTTTTTTTTAAATCCCCTCTTCTGTTGTATCTTTTTACTCTTGTTCATTCACTTTCCTTTGCTATCTCAGTGTCAAGAACTTCCCCTTCATATTTCTTGTAGAATTGGTCTTGTTTTCATGAATTCCTTAAGTTCCTACTGTTCTGCAAATGATCTAATTTTGCCTTCGTATTTACTGGACTGCTTTGCAGGGTACAGGATCTTTTTTTTTCTACTGGTAACTTTTCTTTCAGCCTTCCATAAATGCCATTCCAATATCTTCTTGCTCAAATGCTTTCTGCTTAGAAATCAGAGCTAATCAAATTGGTTCTCCTTTGCAGTTGATTCTTTGTTTTTCTCATGCTGCTTTTTTCTATCCTTACCTTTTATTTTCTAGAATTTGACTATGATATATGTTGATGTTTTCCTTTTGGATAATTGTTTGTTAGTTCCCCAAGCTTCTTGAATGGGGATTTTCTCATTTTTCATGGTCCCTGAGAAGTTTACTTCTAGTTCATCTTTAAATTTCTTAGTGCTTCCCCCCACCTTCTGTTCTTGAATTCTTGTTGCACATATGTTTTTGCATTTTATGTTATCCCACATGATTCTAGTATATTTATCATTTTCTGTTTGTCTTCTTCCTGTTTTTTTCTCCTAGTAGATTCTCATTGAGGTTCCTGTCTTCTAGCTCACTGACTCTTTGTTTCATCTTTTCTATTTTGATTTTTTTGGTCCCTCCAGTATGTTGGAAAATTCTTATATTTTGGTCTTGATTTTTTTGGATTATATTTTCATGCATTTCTATTATTACCAGTACTCTGTTGTCTGTACCCTCTCTGTATTGTGTTAAGTTTTTAAATTCTTGTATCACTTTATTTTTACTTTCAATTCTTTCTTCTATCATTTGTGACTTCTTTTATAGTTATCCATGTAACTCCATGTCAATATATTTCTTCTACCTCCCTATCTCTGATCTATTTCTTTAAGAGAAAACTTGTTTTAGTGTTTCATAATATTTTAAGCTGTCTGCCCTTTTCTTGAAATTGTGTGGATGGGGCAGTTTCTGTTGTGTCTATGTAGGTTGTTGACAGTTCTTATCTTTATGATGCTACTGATAGCTTGCACACTTAAAGTGTTATCTCCAATTGAATTTCCCAGTGACAGTCTTCTCTGCTGGCTGTCTGTGATCAGATCTGTTTCCTGTGTCCAGTGACAAGCTTCTCATCTAGTTGTCCAGAGAACTGAAGGGTTTTTGTTTTTACCCACTTGTGCTGGCCCCACTTCTCTATCCTGTACTGTAGTTTGATAGTGGAGGAGTTTTTTCCCACTGGGGTAGGAAAGTCCAAGGAGTTCTGCCTGGAATCTATTTATCAGGGGAAAACCACAGGAAAATGACAGTTCTAACAGTGCAACCCCCAAGTCTCAGTAGTTACTAATGGCCATATAAATACCCCTTCTCCCAGGACTAGTTAAGAAGGGAGCTATTCCCACCTGAGAAGATAAAGGCTCAGGAGAGTGTCAACTTCTCATCAATGTGGTTCCCAATTCTGACTGTCCACGAATGTCCAGATCCTCTGGCCTCCTGAGACTGATAGGTAGGTGGCTATTCCCACCTAAGCAGAAAAGGCTCAGGGGAGTGCCAGTCTCAGCAATGCCTATCCTACACACTTAATAGCTACTCTCATAAATGTCTTATGGTTTTGTTTATATATATTGGGAATAACAAGTGATACTTTTGAAGTGCCATGTTCCTTTTCCTCTATTTCAATTTCTGCTTTACTTCTTGGAACTCCATGGGATTTAAATCTGGCATAAGACTAGAAGAAAGTTTAGATGGGTCCTAAAGTCTGAGTTGAATCTAGAAATATTCAACAAGGTGTTTTGTAAAGTGTCTACCTCAGATGATGCTCTAGACAACACCTTACTTCTATCCAAGGCATATCACAGACAGATACTCCTCAGGTAAACCTAAAAGATCTATTAAGATAGGGGTGAGAGGAATAATGCTTTTACTGGGGAGGGTAGTGAAGTAAGCAAAGATAGCGTAGTCTCTTCTGACAAATGTAAGGAGCTGACTTTTGGCAGAAATTATTCAACTGGATTTGGTTTTGGTGGTGGTGGTGGTAGTGTGTGCCCTTGAGTTGCCTTCAATTCATAGCAACCCTATGTACAGCAGCTCCTAAGCCTGCCCTATCCTGAGCCAATCTCACTGACTCTGACACACCTAACCCCATTGCCCTAGTAAATATATCAATACATCTCACCCAGGATCTTCCTCTCTCCTGCACTGCCCCTCCACCCTTAGAGGCCACTATTTCCAACTTCTTAATTATCTATCCATTTGTTCCTGTCTTAAATTTCAGCCCAATTCTTACCAAACAGTGTTCTTATTTTTGCTTTAGATGTCATCAGCTGTGTTAATACAAGTCACAAGGCTTTTATTCAGTCCACAAGTAGCAATTTTCAGATCTTTTATGTAGGCTTAATCTGTGACTCTGAAACCCTGACTGAGTTCATCTTTATTTAATCTCTCTGTTTAGCCAAAACAGAAACCACCAATTAGCCTCCCAATACTTCTCAGTTTGACAGATATGCTGAAAAGTGTCAAAAGCACAAGTGGCCAGAATAGATTCTTGTTCTTCTTTGCTCTTTAGAACTTCAAAGAAGTATTTTTGGAATATTAAGAATGCACTATTTTTCTGTGACATGTATATTTTTGTTCTTATTGTCAAATGATATTAAGTTACCTGCAACTCATGGTGACATTACATACAACAGTTCTGAAGCCTGTCCTATCCTGAGCCATTCTCACTGACTCTGACACACCTACGCCTCATTACCCTAATTTCTGTGTCAATACATCTCGTCCAGAGTCTTCCTTTCCTGTTCTGTCCCTCCACCCTTCTGAGCATGATGTCTTCCTCCAAGAACTAGTCCCTCCTGGCCATCTGCCCAAAGTGTGTGAGACAGAGCTTCAAAATCCTTGCCTCTAAGGAGAAACTTGGTTTCATGCTCTCTAAGACAGACTTGCTTATTCTCTTGATAGTCCATGATATATTCAATACTCTTCTCCAGCACCACAACTCAAAGGTATCAATTCTTCTTCTGTCATCTTTGGTCATTGTCCAGCTCTCTGATGTAGAGCATGTAATTGTGAAGACTATAGTCTGGATCAGGAGCACCTTAGCCTCTATACTGACATCGTTTTTCCTCAGTATTCTGGATAGTTCCCTGACAATATGTTTTCAAAGTACAATTCATCAAGTTCATCACATTTTTATTTCCTGACAGCTGGTGCCAAAAATGTTGATTGTATAGCTGAGCAAGCTGAAATTGTTAACAACATCGATCACTTCAGCTATCATGGTGGTAACAATTGTCTTGGTATTGAAAACATTTATCTTCTTGATGTTGAGCTTCAATCCATATTGAAGGCTACACTCCTTCACTTTCTGCAGTAAATTCAGGTCATCCAAAGTTTCAGCAACCAAGGTTGTGTTATCTGCATATCACGGGTTGTTGATGAGTCTTCCTCTAATCCTGATGCCATGCTCCTCTTTATTAGGCCCCCCCAAATAATCTGTTCTGCATATATATATTGAAAAGGTCTGGAGGCAGGATTCATTTCTGATGCACTCCTTTCCTGATTTTGAACCATGCAGTGTTAGTTCTTAAGATACTTACAATTAATTTGAGAAGATGTGACATCTGGAATTGTTTCTATTCTTAAATTGAATCTTTGACAAAAGTGCTTTTTAATCTAACTTAACATATCATTGTGATTATTATTCTGTTGCTAAGATTTTTTTTTATAATTCTGAGAAATATACCTGTGTTATGTTGTTCTGTGCCATCAAGTCAGAACCAACTCAGAGTTGACCCTCACACCTCCAGTGCATTTTCAGAGGTTGTAAATTGTGCAGGAGATTTTTCATCTTTCTCCCATGAAACAGCTAGTGGAATCTAACTTCACAGTTTTGGGTTGGTAGGACAACTCTTGACCACTATGCCCCAAATGCTCATTACCACTATTCACCTGGAATCTTTTTTATTTGAAGTGTCATTCTTGCTCTTTAGAACTTTAAAGAGGGGGTTTTGGCACTCTACAGATATTTCAGTGGTGGTAATATATTTCTTTTCCTTCTTTGTGAATTAGATAATTCTTTGTCTTATTATTCTTCTTTTATCATCACAGTTGGTTATCATCAGCTTAACAGAGCACTATCATCCGAGTGTCTCGATTTGCAAGAACAAAGTTCCTAGCTACTTGTCAGACCAGTTATTACTGAGTCAATTTTAATTTAAAACATTGCATGAATGGAAAACAAACAGTCCTGTGGGAAATTAATACCTTTTCCCTGATTCATAAGTATGCTCTTTTCTGAGTGTCTAGAAAATCACACTATAGGTCATTGATTTGTCTTCCTCACTTCATTGTAAATGCCTTGTGTACAGAACCATCCTATAACAGTCTCCTTGGAATACAATATTCAATAAATGTTTACTGAATTGTTAAGTCACTTCAGGAGGGAGACCAAGGTCTTGCCTGAAGGTAGAAGCTTTTATTAAATATTTATCTCCAGTTCCCTAATAGAACAATGATTTCCTAAATAATAGAACTTTTGACAAGAAAGAAATTTGTTGATTTTCTGATCATATTATTTCATTTTCAAATTAAATAGAATCTCAGGATCAGTAAAAGCCAATCTCAATAATATACAAATAGTGAGTATTGGAATTTTCTGTGATGTCCTAGTCTCATAGTTCTTTTCTTTGCCCTCAGTCTAAAATTATTCATCAGCTGACAAGTATGTTTCACTTTTTTTTCTTCACTTTTTAGGGTTCTAAGGGCAAAAAAGGAGCACCTGGTCCTTTTGGGAAACCTGGGATTCCTGTAAGTAAGAAGCCTTTTTATCCTCTGAATTTTATTTTGGTTTGGGTTTTTTTTTCTCTAAATAAAATAGGCAATTTTAGCAATTTTGTTAAAAAAAGAAGAAGGTTTATGGCAAAAATGGAAAAATAAAATCCATTGCCATTGCATCTATTCCAACTCCTTACAACCTCCCACTGGATTTCCAAAGCAATATTCTGTTACAGAGGAGACTACACTGTGTAAGTACTGGTGAGTTAGGCTAAAAGTGTTGACAACTGTTAGATTAATCAGATTGTGATGCAAAAAAATGAAAAAATAAGCGCCTGCTGAAACATGAGGCAAAATAGGCCTTTTAAACCCAAACCACGTTTGCTGTTAAGAGGCAAGTCCCTGCAGTGGGAGGATATTCTTGCTTTGCTACTGCAGCCTCTCCCTCCCTGAACATTAGCCAGTGATAGATGGGGATTTTGCAAACATGTCAAAATAGATGTTAGTAAAGGTCAGAGAGTTCAAGCAATAATTTAGAAAGCATGTTGGAGGACGCAACCTTACATTGTTTTGGAAAATGGAACAAAGCAATTAGAATTTTTTTCTTTTTTTTTTAAAAAAGGTCTTTCCATTACAAAACAAAGTTATATTTTGTATCCATTATCAGTAACCTCCTCTGGCCACAAAACTGTGTGATAATGGACTTATTACCAAAGACTTCCTCCTTCTCTCTCCTTGCTAAATACTCGATGTCTACAACGGATGGCCTGTATTGGCTCAAGAAGTGTGGAAAAATGAATGTAAATTATAAGTACATTCAGATCACAGAACACTACTAATAAAATTCCGTTTCCTAAGAGTACAAACAAAATTAAGACCTTTTCTCACTCTTAAAATTACCTAATTTTAAAAAGAGTTATAATTTGCTTCTTTGGAAAATAAAAGCAAATATGAGGTTTTTCTAGATTAACGACGGTCTGTGACCTACGTTAACAAGTGCATGTAGCAGAGTTGCTTATGCATGGGCTGGTATAGTAAGAAATGCCAAATAATTACATTAAAGGTGAACATGTCACACAATAAATTGCTGTAAAATAGCTTGGAAATTTTATTTAGGGAATTTTAAAACATTTTAAAGACATGTCACTTTGAATCCAAATAATAAATCATTTAGGTATAAAGGAGATAGGAAAAATCATTCTGGGAGAATATAAGAAAATATATATATATACTTTTCTCCTTCATATATAAAGATATCTGTTATTTAATAATCTGTATAACATCTGTCTCTAATACAAGTGACATTTAATTATCAAGGGACTTCCAGGCTCATCTGGGCCAAAAGGAATACAGGGATACCCAGGAGCTGACGGCATTTCAGGAACCCCTGGAAAGGTTGGGCTGCCGGGAAAACCAGGACTTCCTGTAAGTAACTTGATTTATCTCTGTGCTCTGTGTTTCTTTCTTGCAAGTTTGTCTTTACAATAACATAGGCATTTTGGCTATTTTCTTAACTTTGTCATTGGCTCTAATTAAATTAATCTTTTCTTTAATATTTATTTTGGAATTGTGTATGTGGTTGTCAGGTTGATTACCAAGGAATTTCAATAGGTACTATATCTTAGTTTCTTTATATGAAAAATCTGTGAAGAGTGATTATAGTTAGAGTTCTTAATAGAAACAGAACCAGTGAAACCTACATATATAAAGAGATTTACTTCAAGAAAATGGCTGACAGAATTGTGAGGAGCTGGCAAATCTCAAATCTGTAAGTCTGCAGCAGTATGAAAACCACTATTCCACTATTTGACTCGCAAGATTGTAGAGGTCTGGTAAAAACAAAATCTACTGGTCAGGTGGGAAATCAAACACATCTAGAGCCTTATATTTTATTACTTCTTGAAACAGCAACCAATCTAGTCTTTGACCAAACCACAAAGAATCATAGCCTACATAGGTTGGCACATACTTATGCTTAAAACACAAGTGTGACCGGAGGCACTTACTTCAAAAGGTTAAATATATTCAAGGCTCCAGCCTTCAATATGGTTTGCATCTCAATATTAATAAAACAAAAATCCTTACTACTTGGCTGACAGGCAACTCATGATAGAAAGAGGAATAATTAAGACTGTCAACAACTTGATCTGACTTAGATCCACAATCAATATATTTTATACCAGCAGTCTGGAGATCAGAAGACATGTTATACTTGGAATAGCTGTAGTCAAAGAACTCTCCAAAATTATTGAAGAGTAATGATGTTAACTTGAGGATTAAGGTGCACATGATTCATAATTCTGTCAGCCTTTTCAGTCTTGCTCTGTATCTGAGAGCTGGACAAAGAACAAAGATGACAGAAGAATTGATGCCTTTGAATAGTAGTAGTGCTGGAGAAGAGTGTTGAAGATCTCATGGATTGTCAAATGAACAGAGATATGTTTTGCAGAAGATGCAACCAAAGGGCTTCTGGAGGCAAAAATGATGAAGCTTCATCTCACATACTTTGGACATGTTTTTAGGAAAGGTTATTTCATAAAGAAAGAGATCATGTTTGGGAAGGTGGAGGGTCAGAGAAAGAAACCAAGACCCTAGACCAAGGGGGTTGACTCAGTGACTATAGCAGTGGGCTTGAATGTGTCAGAGATTGTGAGAATGGCATAGGATAGGACAATGTTCACATTTGTTGTTCAGAGGGTCAATATGAGTAGTACTTGACAGCACCTAAAAAAACAATAGGTTGGCACGTAAAATTAACTATCATATAATACTAATAATGTAAATCATTTTACACGGTTGTGTGACAATTTATACATATGAAAGCTTATAACATATCTGTATTTTTAGTTCATTAGTGTCTTAAGTCACCTTCAGAACATTTCATTCTTGGTGGTAACTCAAGATATTCTGCCAGAAATAATTTTCTTCTACAGTATAATTGCTAACAAATATTGTGTTAATATTTTCTTTGTGTTAATTTTAGTAGTGATATAATCATATATAGGCTCTCATTTTTGTGCATTTTTTTAATTTATTTGATTGGAAGTTTACACATTATATCACTTTTGTCTTCACTTCGCCATTTTCCCTTTCTTTACCCAATGTTATTCTGACCCAGATATTTTTTATTATCCCAGATTGTGTTTTCACTAAAAGTTTTAGAAGAATTAACTACACACTTTCAAGAACTCTGTGAAATTTACCAATAATTTGATCGACATCATTGGCCTGGATTCTAAATACCAGAGAAATAAGATGAAGTTTTTATTTTCTTATTATTTATCCCTCTTTCCCCCCCCCCTTTAAAACCCTGAAAGTAGAAAGTTGTTCATAGCTTTACGACATGTTACCATCTTTCAGTGTTTGCCTGAATTTGATTTTTTTAATTCACTTCCTTTTATTCTCATTTTCATTCTCCTCTTCCTACTGTATGTATTTTAATGTGTATTTTTATTTAATTGAAAATTTCTGACAAAATAGTGTTGGGTTTTTGCATTTACCTTTAATTATATCAAGATATCAGGTCATTCTGTTTCTTGATTTTTCAGTAGTAATTAGTTTTTTAAGATCCATTTGTCCTGTTACAGGATGAATCTGTTTGTTTTCCTAGCGGTCCATGGTATTCTCAACACTCTTCTCCAGCACCACAGCTCAAAAGCATCAATTCTCCTTCTATCCTCTTTGGTCATTGTCCAACTCTGATGCATAACAAGTGATTGCAAAGACCATGGCCTGTATCAAACGCACCTTACAATCTTTAATAGGCCAAATTGTAGGAATTGATAAAACAAGGAAGAATGCTGCTTAAGAAAAAGACTCATGGACATCCTAAACACAATAGCATCACTATTTATCATTCTTTTCTGCTTCCACTGTACTAGACAAAGACTCTGATTAAGATTTAACTATTAAAACATAAATAACGACACTGGCTAGATAAAGCCTATCCCTAGGCAGATCAATAAATGAAGGGTAAGAAGTAGTCAAATAACATTTTTAATGGCTTTATTGAGCATTTACCATGTTAAAAAGACCCCTTACCTAGTGCTGAGTATTTGATAAACATGACTAGTACCATTTTAAAGAAACTCCAGTGGTGTTGTTCTTAATGTGTTACAATGCTGTCCCTATCAGTTCCAATCCATCAGCATCTCCACAGAAGAAAAATGAGCAGTCTCTTCTTAAAATTTATAGCTTTGGAAAGTCAATGGAGGATGTAGAGTTTGTCTCTTCATATAGCTTTTCTAGTGTAGATGACTGACCATGTGGAGGGGTGGAACTTTACAAGTGAGGCACAGTGGATTATCCACAAATGGATTGGCTATTTACCATTCCACAAGGCAATTAGCTGTAAGATAAGGAATTCTTCATGTACCAGAAGAGATTCTTCACCTAGCCAGAGAAGAGAGATATTCCCAATCTGTTTGGGATTGTAACAGCCGTAATGGCTGAACTAGAGAACTGGAGCTAAAATGGGACTTTGAGATGGTGAAAGCCAATATTGACAGGACTGGGAACCAATTAGACCCACAAGGCTTGAGGCTAAGATGCCTCCCTGCACATTTGGGGGGCTTTCTTGACTGTTATTAATCTGAATTATAATATTTTAACTCACTCAATATGGATCTATGTGGCCTGTGAGTTCTCACAATGGATTTTGGACCCAGTCAAACAGTAAGATTGGTTTTGATATGAGTGTAAAGAGGCATGGGGGTGTGAAGGACCTGTCTAGCTTCATGGGAATTAGAGAGGATCAACATTAGTCACTATCTACCCAACAGTATTGGATAGGTTGGAGTGCCATTTTTAGCCCACTTTTTTTAAAAACCATTTTCTAGGAAAGGAACCAGATACTAAATAATAAATTATATCACTACTTACTTGCAGCTATAATAAATGCTCTAATGTATGAACAGGAAGATACAAATATAAATTGCATCCTGAAGAATTATACCAGGAATGTATGTGTTCTGTCTCCATACTGTTTCAATCTATATGCAGAACATATCATCCAGGAGGCTGGACTGTGATAGGAGGAATGTGACATCAGGATTGGAGGAAGATTCATCAACAACCTATGTTTTGTAGACAATACAACCCTACTTGCTGAAACTGAGGAGGACCTGAAGTGCTTGCTGCAGAAGGTCAAGGACTGCAGCCTCCAATATGGATTGAAGCTCAGCATCAAGGGAAAAAAATTCTCATCACTGGGCCAATTGGCAGCATCATGATGGATGTTAACGAGATTGAGATTATTAACAGCTTTAGTTTGCTTGGCTCCACAATCCACACTCTTGGTACTGGAAGCCAGGAAAACAAGAGATGAACCGTATTGGGAATGTCTGCCTCGGGGACCTCTCCAGACATCAGTCCAGAGACTAAGATGCACCTGATACAGACCATAATCATTGCAACTGTTTGCTATGTCTCAGAGAGCTTGACAATGACTAGGAATGATACAAAGAGAATTGATGCCTTTGAGCTGGTGTGCTGGAGAAGAGTGCTGAACATACCATGGAAAGCCAGGAGAACAAACAGATCTTTTTTTGAAAGGGTGAAATGAAACTTCTCCCTGATGGCAAAGATTTTGAAACTGTGTCTTAACATATTTTGGGCACACGGCCTCGAGGGACCAGTCCTTGGAGTAGGACATCATGCATGAAAGAGTGGAGGGACAGCACACTAGTGGAAGACCCAGAATGAGAAGGAGTCATTCAGTGATTGGAGAAATGGAATTAGGTCTCTCTGAGACAATGAGATTGGCTCAGGATAGGACAAAATTCAGAGCTTGTGGACATGGGCTTGCTATGAGTCACAGGGGACTTGTAATCAACTAAAGAGGGGAAAAGAAACTTAAAAAGAATGATTATGATAAATAGGAAAAAGTATGTAATGACATGTAAATTTAGTAAAGAATGTATTGAGAAGGAGGAAATCATCAATTGTATTTAATAATTCTAAAATATTAAAATACAAATTTTTAATTTTCAGTTTAAAGGACAGTTTGCCTCTGGTATTTGCATTTACCCTGGTTTATACGTCTACCTAGAAAGACTGTTATGAGGCACTGTAATTTATAGCACGTGGAGATCATTGATAATTTATCAGGATCACTTACTTAATGGATTTAGAGGGGTTAGAAACAATATTAACATGCTTAAGGGTAGAAACTTTGTCTGACATACTTTGGACATGTTGCAAGGTGGGATCAGTCCTTGGAGAGGGACATCATGCTTGGGAGGGTGAAGGGACAGCTCAGGAGAGGAAGACCCTCAGTGAGATGGATTGATTCCATCACTGGATTAATGGGGATAGCTGTGTGGGAGACGTTAAGACTGGCACAGGATAGAGAAGTTTTTTTGTTTTGTTGGGTTTTTTTTTAATTTAATTTAGTGTGTTTATTTTTCATTTCAATGAATATCTAC